CTAGCCGTCACCTTCAGCCCCCAACTAAAACCCCTCCAATGCATTATTAAGGATCTACAACCTATCCTGAAGGATGACCCAACACTCTCACAAATCTTGGGAGACAGGCCAGTCCTTGCCTACAGACAGCCCCCCAACCTGAAGCAAATACTCACCAACAACCACATACCACACAACAGAACCACTAACCCAGGAACCTGTCCTTGCAACAAAGCCCGTTGCCAACTGTGCCCACATATCTATTCAGGGGACACCATCAAAGGGCCTAATAACATCAGCCACACTATCAGAGGCTCGTTCACCTGCACATCCACCAATGTGATATATGCCATCGTGCCAGCATTGCCCCTCTGCCATGTACATTGGTCAAACTGGACAGTCTCTACATAAAAGAATAAATGGACACAAATCAGATGTCAAGAATTATAACATTCATAAACCAGTCGGAGAACACTTCAATCTGTCTGGTCACGCAATCACAGACATGAAGGTCGCTATCTTACAACAAAAAAACTTCAAATCCAGACTCCAGCGAGAAACTGCTGAATTGGAATTCATTTGCAAATTGGATACTATTAATTTAGGCTTAAATAGAGCCTGGGAGTGGCTATAGCCTATTTCCCCTTGTTTTTTTCTACCCCCCCCCCCGACATTCTGGTTAAACTTGGATTTATGCTGGAAATGGCCCACCTTGATTATCATGCACACTGTAAGGAGAGTGGTCAGTTTGGATGAGCTATTGCCAGCAGGAGAGTGAGTTTGTGGGGGGGGGGGGGTGAGAAAACCTGGATTTGAGCTGGAAATGGCCCACCTTGATTATCATGCACATTGTAGGGAGAGTGGTCGCTTTGGATAAGCTATTACCAGCAGGAGAGTGAGTTTGTGTGTGTGGTTTTTGGAGGGGGGTGGGGGGGTGAGAAAGTCTGGATTTGTGCTGGAAATGGCCCACCTTGATTATCATACACATTTTAAAGAGAAAGAAGGGGAGTACTTGTGGCACCTTGGAGACTGACCAGTTTATTTGAGCATGAGCTTTCGTGAGCTACAGCTCACTTCATCGGATGAGGTGAGCTGTGGCTCATGAGGGCTCATGCTCAGATGGATTGGTTGGTCTCTGGGGTGCCACGAGTACTCCTTTTCTTTTTGTGAATATAGACTAACACGGCTGTTACTCTGAAGAGTGTGCCTGGGGTTATGTGAAATTTCAAATGGCTAAGGAATCTGAGTGGTTTTCAGCTACAGTATACACAAGTTTTAGATCTAGAGTAAAATGGGTGGGATGCTTTACTGCAGTGGTTCTCAACTAGGCGTACTTATACCCCTGGGGGTATGCAGAGGTCTTACTGGGGTACATCAACACATCTAGATATTTGCCTAATTTTACAACAGGCTACATAAAAAGCACTAGTGACAATGACTTGTTTATACTGCTCTATTTACTCTACACTGAAATGTAAATACAATATTTATATTCCAATCGATTTATTTCATAATTATATGGTAAAAATGAGAAAGTAAGCAATTTGTCAGTAACAGTGCTATCACATTCTTGTATTTTTATGTCTGATTTTGTAAGCAAGTATTTTTTAAGTGAGGTGAAACTTGGGGTACACAAGAAAAATCAGACTCCTGAAAGGGGTAGAGTAACCTGGAAAGGTTCAGAGCCACTGCTTTACTGGTTGGAAATCACTCATCTAAGAAGCTTCAGAGAGAAGTGTGTGGCTAAAACTGCTTATACTTTTTAAGCCAAAATTGCCAACTGCCAGCTGGTGCGGGTGCCTGCTTAGCTTTATGCGGGCCCCCGCCCCGGACTATGTGTCATTATTCATAGTCCATCAAGTAAACCGTTCATCTTGGTCCCTCTCATGATCAACAAGGCTCAGATGGCAGGCACAGATAGTGCCACGCTCTTGGCAGGTCCAGTCAGGGGTGACTTCCTTGTCATTGCTGTATCCCCTTTGTCCCTGGCTTGTTGGATGCAGATTGCGTTGCCCGGAGTGGTGACATATATGCATTTTTAGGCTGCAGGGAGAGGCAATCTAAACTATGGGTGCAGTGCAATGATTTTGCAGAGCTGCCTTTTGCAATCAAGCTGGGTATTTGTGCCAGCAAAAGTGGAAGAAAAATTACTGCCTTTGGTGGTAGTGTGCTACTGCAACCCAATTATCTCAGGTAGTCGTAATGAGTATTTAATTCTCATTTAAACAAAGAAAAGGAGGACGTGTGGCACCTTAGAGACTAACCAATTTATTTGAGCATAAGCTTTCGTGAGCTACAGCTCACTTCGTATCCGATGAAGTGAGCTGTAGCTCACGAAAGCTTATGCTCAAATAAATTTATTAGTCTCTAAAGGTGCCACAAGTCCTCCTTTTCTTTTTGCGAATACAGACTAACACGGCTGCTACTCTGAAACCTGTAATTTTCATTTAGTGTTCCTGCCAAAATGTGTACTTCAAAGGACAGATCCAAGTAAAGCCACATACTCATGGGCTGGTTGCAGACTGCAGAGGAGTATGGAATCCTCTGTTACTGTCCTGCCTGGATTATGGAATGAGTTAAAACTAGGGGCTCTACTCCTCGAACTAAGGTTCTGTCTACATTAGAAGTACAACATTCATTTTGTAGCCAAGTTGTGACCTGCTAGTCAAACATGATTGAGTTATCTACATGCAGGGTGCTGACTTCTCAGCCCAATTGTGTGCAGCTCAGTACCCATCCCACTTGCAGAACCATGTCAACACCAGGTCATTGTGGGAAAAACTGGACAGCTGTCCCATTATGTCTATGACTGACTTCACTGCCAAAAGAGGCGTGTGTTTCGAGGGAGATAACTAATGGGAGTTGGGTATCTTGCTGTAAAATCCAAGTGGAGACAAGGTATAGGAAGTTTTTTCCTTGATGGGGCGAGGTCAGCTCTAGATGGGGGCATAGTGTTAACTCACGGTCTGACCAAATTCTCCTTCTCTAAAACCACTCCCTGCTAATGTTCTGTGCTGAGTGCTTCAGGTGGATTCCTGAAGGTCTGTAGGAACCTGTCAACATTTACTTACTAGGAACAGAAGACATTTCATTTGATGGGACATGCTTCACCTTGAGCAACCATGATTCTTGTGTTTGAGCTGATGTTGAATGAGGGATTGGGGCCAGGAGAGAGGAAGATGTAGTTCTAGTGTCTCTTCCAGAGCAACCGTCCCTTTAATTTTCCAGTTCATTTGCTGTGGGAGAGGAGAGGGCGTTGTGCACCGTCTCAAGCAACTTTGCAAGCCTCTTCTGTGCCTTTTAGGGTGAAAAAGAGCTGTGAAGTACACTTCTAATATCCAGTTGCTGTTGAGCTGTTCTGTTTTGACACCCAGACTGAGTTGCCCTCTAACTGAACTGGAGGGATACAAAGGAGAGTTATATGCCCTGATTCTAGGGAACACAGCGCTCTTAGAGGTGTCGTCTTTCAAATGAGATGTAAAACTGAGAACCTGAATGCCTGAAGATCTCAGAACTGGGGGGATGAGGGACTACATGCTAAGTTGGGTGATTGCATTCTGCCTCCCTGGATTCTCTCTGCAGTGTGAGTGGGATATGGGATTCTTCACTGCCTTATTATTAACCATGCCACTTTCTCTGGTGCGTCTCATGAGCAGCAGGGAGTTTCGTGGCAGGGAGGAAGGTAGTGGCATTCTTCTTTTCCAGATGGGGTCATTGAGGACCACTGAGCTGAGTGATTTCCCATGGTCACACAGTAAGTGGCAGAGCTGGGAACAGAACTAAGATGTCACGATTCTCAGCCCAGACTCAGAACCACAAGGGCCGTATTTTTCTTTCAACAAGACCATACTTCCTTCCTATTCCTGCACCTTCTTTTTCACCATAAGCAGCAACTGCGGGTGCAAAATGACTGCTCTGTTTCTTCTCCACCCCTCCACCTTCCCCAAAGCAGTGGCAGCATGTCAGTGGTGGGTTATATTTTCTCCCATCTACTTTCGGGCTATTTTTAGGACATTTAAGGAAGCACAATAATAATCCTTTGTCCTTCTCTAATGCCTCCCAGCTGAGGATTTCAAAGCACTGTCTGAACACTAATTAAATCGCTCAGCCCCCCTTCCCCCCCACTCAACCCTCGGCAGGTAAATATTTTCTCTATTTCTTTACTGCATTTTCTCTCCTCTGTTTGTTGCTCCTCAAGCCTGCTCCTGTGAGGGACGCACCTTCCCGTCAGAAATGTCGGGCGAGGACTGTGCAGCCACTCAGAAGCAAACTGTGTTGAAAGTATTTGGGACTCTAGTAGCCAGCCCAATTGCCTCTTTGTTCCCGTGAAGATTGCTCCTGGGCTGAAGAGACCTTTGATTGTTGGCCGTCCCAACGAGAGGACATCCAGGCCACCTGCAAAAACCTAAGTGTGGGTTCCAGCATGTTCCGAGAATGCTCAGCCAGGGCATTGAGACTGGAGTGACTGTGTGGATCAGAGTAACAGCCGTGTTAGTCTGTATTCGCAAAAAGAAAAGGAGGACTTGTGGCACCTTAGAGACTAACCAATTTATTTGAGCATGAGCTTTTGTGAGCTACAGCTCACTTCATAGCTCATGCTCAAATAAATTGGTTAGTCTCTAAGGTGCCACAAGTCCTCCTTTTCTTTTTGTGTGGATCAGCCTCCTAAGGGCTGCCCAGCCCCCTCATCATGCTGCTCCTCGCACTTTCTCCTCCCAGCACGTATGTTTTTTGGCTTAGAAGACTGAGCAATGAACACTCTTAGAAGGGAAGGTCTCGGTGGTATTTTATTTTGTAGAACCCCGTATAGTTTTCCTGGAAAGACACTGCTAACCCTTGCAAGCCCCTGCCTGGGCAAGTGAGTATGTGGTAACGAGAGAGCATCTGTGCAGAGGGAGACCAAATCCATCCCACTTTTTGGAGAGCCCTGCCTCCACTTCCTGAGTCTGATTGTCAGTAGCCCCCGTCCCCTCGCCACACACACATACCCGCTCACGTCCTCTCTCCCTCACCACTGGCTCTCTGAATAGCAGCTCCATCCTCCTGGCTTGGAGAGAGGAGCTCTTTTGTTATTCAAATCACACACTCCAGCGTGTGGCTGAGTGCAGCAGGCAGGCTCCAGCTACACAATTCTTTTTCTCCTCCTTCCGATATCTGATGATCCACAGCGAGCAAGCAGCCAGATAATTTCTGTTTTCCTTGCCGAAGGGGCTGTGCCATCCCTGGGCGGTTTGGAGTGTGTGGGAGTTGGTGCTTTGTTGCCCCTCACCTCGCCTTTGCTTCCAGAGGAAGCTTCCAGCTCCATTCTGCCTCTTTTCTGGGCACTCCTCAGCCTGCAAGCTGGCCCTGCTTTCAGACCTTCCTCTCTGCATACTTTCTCTGCCTCAGCATTGCTGATTTGCAAGGTTGCCAGTATGGGCTTTTCAGAACCGTATTAACCGGCTGAGCCTCTGAGCATTCAGAGAAAGCGGGGGGGTGGGGGGTAGGGGAAGCACAGCTCTGTATTCTTCTTGGATATTGTGATCTTCAAGCTTCAGGATTTCTGAGCCGGCCCTCTCCTCGAGGGGAGGGAGCCAGGAGCAGCCCTTGGCCATGGAGGTGGGCAAGATGGTAAGTGAACAGCTGCTCTTAATGCATGTTTTCCAGTTCCAGCATCCCTTTAGCCTGGCCTTTGTTTGCCCACTGAGCTCATTTTAATCCCCTTTCTCCACTTGGATCTGTCGGAGCACCTGCATCTCGAAGTGCTTTTCTCTTTAAGTCCAGTTTATTTTGTTGTCATCACTCCTCGCCCTGTCCATTTAGCCCCTCTTATGTGTGCTTGTGTTTGGGCAAACTCAGAAGACTGATATTGTGAGAGTGCAAGGGAAGGATGGGGTGGAGGGGGGGCAGTGTTGTGAAGGGAGATCTCAGGAGTTTGCCTACAAGTTATCCAAATACATCTCAGCCTCCAGTTCCATAGGTTCTTAGTTTCTCAGGACCACATTCTGGGGGCTTTAATCAAGCAAAACTCTTTTCCAGTGGAGTCAGTGGGAGTTCTGCTAGATTAAAGACCCCAGAATTTGGCTCCCACTGTTTTAATATGTGGGGAAAACAACATGCCCTTCTTTTTTTTTTTTTTTTTTTTTGAAGGGGCAATTGTTACAATACAAGCCTTGTGCTCTCTGCAGTTGGGAGTTATTTTGGGATTGATCCTCAGACAGAGTCTTATTATTGTGTTTGAGTTTCTGCCCCTCTGCTTGATTCAAGAGGAGTGTTGGGAATTGGGATTCACTCACATCCACCCATCTGAACTTGTTTTTCCCTGTTGCTCTGTCTTCTAAGTTAACACCATTCAGGTTGTGCCTTAGGGACTTGAGTCTCCATGTATGGTGCTGCTGTGAGTTCTTTATGCACATTTGGGCAAGGTTCAAACACATTCTGTGCTTTGCAGAGAGATCTTTGTGTACAACAGAAGAGGGGAGCTGATCCATGGTGCCTGCCTTTTGTTCAGAGCAAAGGCAAGTGCTGGATGTATATGTACTTTCCACTCGAAAATAGCTTTGTGGGGTAATTACTAGGTGGTACATTTGGTTAATACACTAACCTTTCATAGTGCAAATAATGAATAATAATGATAATCTTTGCAAAGCAGGCTTTCATTTGCAGAGTGATGTGGTAGCTCTTAACTGGAATAGCAGGGGCCACCGTCGGTCGGGACACCAGTGCATTGGCAGAGCTGAGTGGGGGGAGGGAGCAAGCCAGCACAATTCATGTGTGCAGCCCTAATAACTATTCTTGATCTGTCTTTCAAGATCATAAAAATCCAAACAGAGAGCTCTGAAAAGGCACTGGGCACTTCTGGGGATCAGACCCATGCCTCTCTGTCACCCAGCACGAGCCTTCCGCAGAGTTACTGGCACCTATCAGCTGCCAGGCATTAGGTTGAATAGTTCTTGGTACCTTTAATTAGACAAATGTATGCAATATGAATGCTCCTCTCATTTTCTCACATCTGCCTGCTGTAGTGAGGGATTCCTTTTTTTTTTCTTTTTTTTTTAAGAAGACCTGCCTCTCGGTTGCTTCTCAGGAGAAAGTTTGGGGGAAGGAGTTTGACAAAAACTCCAGTTGCTTCACTCTCACAGTCTGACTGTCCGTGTACTGGATTAGATGTCAGGTTTTTTCACATCTGGGACCTTGCATTATTCTGTTTGGATTCAAATTTAGGACCTGCTTAATTCACAAGCCTGCTGCTCATCCACATGAATGAAGCATATTCTCTAGAAAGGCAAAGTCTGTAGTTCCTTGGTTGAAATTTAACTAATGTGTGGCAAAATTGGAGCGTAAGGTACTGCCAGATCACCATGCATGGCTCGATTTTTACCTTCCTCTTGGAAAGGTATTTTCAGGCAGCATCCTGCAGAATATGCACTTGGTGAGAAAATATGACTGGTTACCCCAAAGGGCAAGTTTTATCCTGAGTGGAAAGTTCTGTAAGGACTGAAATATCAGTTCCTTTCTCAGCAAAATTTTCCTTTGATCATAGACTCGTAGGGTTAGAAGGGACTACAAGGGTCATCTAGTCTAACCCCTGCCAAGATGCAGGATTTGTTGTGATGCCAAATTGCTGCTGAAATTTTCCTCTAGAGATCAGATTCTTGGGTACAGAGTTTGAGGAATCTCCACTCCAGCCTTTTTCAGTAATGCACACCCTAAAGCTAGGGGACAGAGCCAAAACGACTCTGGCTCCTGTTGTGTCCTATAAATACTAAGAATGCTCAAACGCTTATTTTTGCAGCACACTCCAGCTGCTTGGTGTGATCGAATATTGAGAGTATTCTGGAGGCTGTGGGAGACTTGTCTTTACACACTATGCATAGAAAATTCAGGGGACCAGTGACCTGCTGTCCTGCAAGCACAGAGATTAAGCAAAGAAGTGTTCAGTGAAAGGTTATTGTTGCGTGAAATCCCCACATAAAATACAAAACCCTGCTAACACAGAGAAGGCTTCTGGGGATGCTTCTAAACTGACTCTACAACGTGGGCCACCAGCTTAACTGATTGGCTGCCAGTGACGTCAGACTCATATCAATATTTAAGCAATAAGACCAATGGGTGCTTTTCTGGGGAAACAGCTGTTTGAGAAGTGCAGTAATTCCCCAGGACGCACTGCCTGGGAATATCCTAGTTTGTGCCAGTCAAAAATAAGACGCAGGTTTTATCTGTGTCTGTACTGGCTTGTTTCAGGAGTTGTATGCTGACTTCTGAAAGTTCATGTGATGGGTAAAAACACTACTTAGCAATTATACCGTAGTCCTAATATTTGAACTGCTGTGGAAATGTAACTGACGGATGCTCACAGGCCCCTAGGAGGTAGTTAAATATTATCATCCTCACTTGACAGGTGGGGATGCTGAGGCATAAAGGTTAATTGACTTGCTGTTTGGTGACAGTAGGAGTTGATACCAAAACCAAAAGTACCTCTGCAGATCCCCCTTCTAGGAGTTACAACCTTACCTAACAAGTCAACAAACTATTGAGAGCAGTAAGAAATTAATAGACCATGCCGGTATCTCCCACCATTGCATTGTTCTGGAGTGGAGGGTGTAAACGGCTCTGCTCTCTAACCATCCCTCAGTTCCGCTCTTTCTGCCAGCCCTCATGGTTGTCGAATCCCTATCTCCCCCACACATCAGTTTTAGTCTGGATTTGGCAGTTGTAGGGGTGTATTGATACCTGTTTGTGGCCATTTGTTGCAATGTGTCTAGCAAAGTCCAAGATGCGCTCATAGCCTCTGTTGAGGAGTGCCATAAGAAAGCCCATAATAAGAGCAGTATTTAAAAAATAAAAAGTGTAGCTTGATCCAAGATGTTCATCGCTGACATTAATGCTTGGAGTTTCTGGTGCTGGGTTGAGGAGCATTTCCCTCATGCTTGCACGGCTTTTATGCCTTGCTTGTGACGGGGGGATGGAGGGGTTGAGTTTCCTTAATGGATGAAATTTGGATAGTCTCTGTATTTGACCAAGATGCTGTGAGTCTGAAATCTCAGCTTGCTGTTCTAGTGTCTCAACTGAGAAGAGGAAGAAGTCTCCCTCTGGTCCAAATTCGGAGGATTTATTGAGGGCTCTGGAGTGCCGGAGTGCCGTTGTCTGGCACACTTGAGACTAGATGCAGCACTGGGAGCAACAGTGCTGCGTCTAGAAGTATGCTGGTGGAATACAGTCATGCCCCAGCACGTTTGTTTCCTCAGAACCTAGGAGGTCAGAGGAGCAGGATAAAGTTATCTTTGGATCTAAGTGTCTGGAGTCTCTGGTTTCCGAGATGCTTTCTGAACAGATCACTTGCTGGATTCACCCTTGGGAGCCCTGTGCACTCAGAACTTCTACAGAACCCAGCTCAGTCTCTGGACCCGAGCCCCACTTGTTTCCTAATTGGAGGCATTTGGGCTGCAGGAAAGTTCCTTCTCTCTGAGCTTGTTTCTCTGGTTTAGAGCTCCTGTGTCTTTGAACCTGGCTCTGTTCAGTGGGAGCAAGGCATGAAGTAAGAAATGTGCTTTATTTGTAGTACAGGTGCACCCTTCTGCTTTTAGAGTGCCTCTTGGCTGGGAAGCTCCCAAGTCTAAGTGGCCTTGACGTTCTGTTTGACCTACGACCACCTGTAAGCCTCCCTTAGAAAGTTTGTGGCCCACAGGATATGTGGCTCTGGAGCTCTCCTTCCTCCCACCTACCTCTTATTCTTGTGATGTTACCCCTGTTTGGGAAGATGATGGAGGGCATGCAGGGACACAGGCTCATTCCTCTTCACCCAAAAGATCAAGGGCTGGTAAGGAGGTGGGTTCTGCTCTAGAGTGAGCAGGAATCTGAACTTGCATATTTTTCACTGGCAGATGTGGCTTTCCCCCTTCCCTTTCCAAAGTCTTGAGGAAGATTCAACAAGCGAACCATGAGCAGGTTTTGGATCTGCTAGCCTTATCCAGAGACCCCTCTGTTCATCCTCCCTCAGATTCCAGGTCACCTTTCATGTACTGATATTTCACCGAGAGCAGAAGTCTCTTCAGCAGGCTGCTTGCTTTGTGGGTACTTATTGGTTCAGTTCTCTTCATAGGTTGGAAAGTACCGTTTTGGGTCCAGGAAACCTTCCAGTTTGAAGAGGCGATATCCCAAGATTTGTCCATGCTTTAAAATGTTGATCCTGTTACTTGTCTGATCCAAGTTTTATCCTTGATTTACTTTTTATTTCTGCTGGGGCTGGGATGATCTCTGGCCACTGTCAGGGTCTGTCTGGCAGTTCCTGCAGCTTACCATGTTTCTGTACTGACTCCTCAATCTTCTTGTGTCCATGAGGGAAAGTTTCTAATGCAGTTGTGACATATTTATTCATCAGTTCATTACTTTGCTGCTTTATAAAGCATTCCCAGGCTGCTCTACTTTATACAAAGAAGCACATCAGCCCCATCGAGAAGCTCAGAGCTTGACTGGCACAAAGATGACTTAAAAGCCACCCTCGCCCCATCTCCTTGGGCTGCACTTAGACAGTCCCAGCTGGCATTTCTAGTGGCTTCAGCTACACTGTCAATGAAATCTGAGCCCTTCTGACTGAAACTCCCTAGAGAGGCCTAGACCAGGGATGGCCA